TATTATTAATAGGGTAATTTTAAGTATTCAATTATAGGAAATTCCCTCTTAAATGTTCTAGAACATTAGAAAAAGAATCTCTTTTTTGTTTAAGTTGAACAACGGTTTTTAAAGTGATATTCATGATAATGATAATTTATATTGTTAATTTGATCAAAAAAGGAGAAAAATGATTTGAGATGAATTTTTTCAATTCTTTAAATGGTTTTATTTTCTAAATATGTTAATAAATATTAAGAGTTGCTTCTTTTACGATAATAAATATATAATAATTTAATTTTTGAGCATCTTGATATATTGCGATAATGATTTTGTGTGATTAATCAAAGAAAAAAGAGAAAAATAAATGATGAAATAAAAGTACAAACTAATAAAATAAACAAAGTTCAACATTCAAGTGTTTTGAGTCTTGAAAATCTTTTCTATCTGGTAATGATTTGTTATCCAGGGTTGATAATTTCAGTACTAACTCTTCCTTAAAAGTCTACTATTTCTAAGGCAGTATTGAATTCAACTTTTTTTTTTTTGCCCTAGATTTAATCAAGATCCTTGGATGATTTGCTAGGCCTATCAATTAAAGGTTAGAGAATTGTATTGGAGTGAATTAATCTATTTGGTTGTTGATACTTTTATTTCGTTTCAGGAAGGAAGTACACATCTTCAACAGCAGATTCACGAATGAACTTGGAATCAATTTTTGGAAGCACTAAAAATTTAGTATGTTGAGTTTTTTGCATTTCTTTTTTTTAATCTGTCTATTTGGTTACAAGAAAAATGCTTTCGGATTTGAACCTTTAATTCTAATCAGGTAATGCATCAAAGTTGTTTAAAAAACTAGCTGGATCTATTTGAGGGTCTTATTTATTGGAATTTAATTTGATTTCTTCTTTTTTCAATTGAAAATGCAATGACCTTGCTGGTTTGAGATATTACTACATTTCTCTTTATAAAAATTAATTGAGATATGATTATATAAATCATTCAAATTCCGTAAGTTAGGTAGGATTGCTTAAATGAAATCTTCTTGTTGTTTTTCTTTTAACTCTACGATGTTCAGTATGTTCATTTAATGATTCTTTTCTAATAGAGTTAGTCGTTTCATCTACAATATCAACCATTTTTGAGAAATCAACTTTTCTATGTTTAATTCTTAATTTCTTTAATATTTCCTCACTTCCTTTAGGACTCAAACCATTTTTTTCATAATAAATAGGATTCTTAAATAAATCTTTGAATGTTAGATCAGGCATTAAATTAATTTATTATTGTCTTGGTGTAAGAAACTTTTCTTCAATCATGGGAAGTTTAATATAAGGAGATGATTGTTAAACAATTGGAAGATGATTTGAATTTTTTCTAAATTTTTACTTGTTAGTTAAAATAGGAGTTTCTAGTAAATAGTTTGGAGACGTTGCTTCACTTTAAATACCATTTAGTTAGAGATAAGCATTATCATCTTTATTAGGAATAAAGTTTAGATGAGGAATATTATTTAATTTTCTATGCATAATCCAATATAGATTGTTTAATTTGGTTTTGAAAAAAAATAATTTTAAAGGTGAAATATCAAGAATGTAATCAATATAATAGATACATACCTCAATTATCTATGATTAATTAATACTATAATTTTAATTTCCTTAATAAAGCTAACATTTTAAAATTCAATCTTAACTTAAATATAATAAGATGTATGTTGAAGATTACTATTAAAATTTGTATATTTATATATTGAATTTAAATAAAAATGCAACCGGTCCAACCAATTCCTGAAGGATAACGTACAAGAACTATCTACACTTTAATTAAGGATTAGAAATATAAAGATGCTATCATCTATTTGAACTATGAATTACAATTTTGTCCAAAAAGTAGAGCTCTGTCTCTTTTGGCATATTGTCATTATATGAATTAAGATTTTTCTAAAGCTGTAGCTATGTACAATATTATTTGATATAATTTAGTTATGAACAATTAGTTAAGTATTATCCAGAAATAGATGATTACAAAATTTACTTAGCTCAATCATATTACAAAGATAGTAATAATTTATGCTATTTTCAAATATAGGTTTATATGATGAAGCTCTTAAAACATGTGCTTCTGTTGAAAATCCACAATATTAAGGCAAGATCCTTTAATTGTAAGCTCTAATTCGATATGAGAAAAATGAGTTTCAACATGCAAAAACATTATTAAAATAAAATGATATGGATGATCCTGATTCAATAATAAATGAGGCTTGTATTCTATTTAAAGAGAATAAATTTGAAGAGGCTAGATAAAGATTTTAGGATGCTATGAATTTAACAGGATATTCATGTGAATTATCATACAATATTGCACTTTGCTATTATAAATAAAAATAATTAGCATAGTCATTAAAATTCATAGCTGAAATTATTGAAAGAGGAGTTAGAGAACATCCTTAATTAGGAGTTGGTTCAAATGCTGAAGGAATAGAAGTGAAAAGTGTTGGAAATTCATAAGCATTAAAAGAGTCAGCTCTAATTGAAGCATTTAATTTAAAAGCAGCAATAGAATATTCAATTAAAAATTATGCTGCTGCAAAAGAAGCCTTAATAGATATGCCTCCAAGAGAAGAAGATGAATTAGATCCAGTTTCTTTGATGAATTAAGCATTGATGAATATTGAAGAGAAAACAGCTGAAGGATTCAAAAAATTAAATCATTTATTATAGAATCCACCATTCCCTCCTGAGACATTTTCAAATCTATTACTCTTATATTGCAAATATGGATATTTTGATATGGCTGCTGATATTTTAGCAGAAAATGCTGATCTAACATTTAGTACTATTAGTTAAGATGATTTCGAATTTGTTGATGCTCTTATCTTAAGTACTAGTAGTCCAGAAGAATCATATAGAAAATTCTAAATATTATCTAATAAACATATTGACACTCTAAGGAGAATTACTAAATCAATTCAAGATTCTAGACTCAATAGAGATAATGAAGGTATTAAGAAATCATTGAAAGAATTTGATGAATGTCTTGAAAAATATATTCCAGTATTAATGGCTTAAGCTAAAATATATTGGGATAAAGATAATTATTAATAAGTTGAAAAACTATTTAGATAATCAGCAGAATTTTGTGCAGATCATGATGTTTGGAAATTGAATGTTGCACATGTTTTTTTTGTTTAAGATAATAAATATAGAGAAGCTATTAGATATTATGAACCTATTGTTAAAAAAAATAATGATAATTTATTATCATTAACAGCTATTGTTATTGCCAATTTATGTGTCAGTTATATTATGGTCAACTAGAATGAAGATGCAGAAGAATTAATGAGAAAATTAGAGGCTGAAGAACAAAAATCTTAATATCAGGATCCTGATAAATCTGTTTATCATCTTTGTATTGTTAATCTTGTTATTGGAACATTGTATTGTTCAAAAAATAATTATGAATTTGGTATATCTAGAGTAATTAAGTCATTAGAACCTTACAATAAGAAAGTAGAATTATTTTAAATAAATATTAGATTAATACAGATACTTGGTATTATGCAAAACGATGTTTCCTTGCTTTAATTGAAGTCTTAGCTAAACATATGATTATCTTAAAAGACACATCATACAGTGAAATTTTAGATTTCTTGGATGCTGCAGATTCCTGTGGAAAGGCTATACCCTCTGTATTTAATTATATTTTCTATATAGGTGATTAACCCTCTAGAATAGACAGATGAGAAGCATACTGTGTCTTATGAAGCAAGGATGATCAAGAGAATGTTTTTGAAATTAAGAACATGAAAAATATATATATATATTTTATGTAAACTGTATAAGTAACAATCAAATCCAAGCCTTAGTCAAAACTAAGCTGTTGATTACAATTATTAAATTGATTTTTTTAAATACCATTTAATTAATATAATAATATCAAAAATGATTTATAATTATGTTTTATAATTACGACAGATGATGCTATTAGATTGATAATATTTATTATATTTTAAAACGATATTATTTTACAATAATTATTTTTTATAAGATGCAGTCAATGTGTGTTTTTGCTATTCCTTAGTTCCATTTTTTAACTAGCTTGTTTAGCTTAATTTATTTAGTTTTGCAAATAGAAAAGTAATAAATTTACTTATATAAGCTCTTCTGAATAATGGTTATCTATTATATTTGCTGTCCTATAATTTATAACTTGTTTAGTGATTTTAGGGCTATCATACACCAGACCAAAGCATAAAATGAAGAAAACTTATATAATATGCTTAGTTTGTCTGTTTTTAGGAATTTCACTTTATTTACTTATAGTGAATTTTCAAAAAGACTGTTTAGTTCTAATTATTTTATAAATGTTATCAGTAGGGATGATATCTTCGTTGTTGATATTACCCAATAAACTGATTGGCATTGTAATATAAATTTAAATTTACGTAGTGGCAGTTGGTTTGGACTTAATGTCTCTTTATTTATAGTATTGATTTGGATTTAATTTAGTTATTTTATGAGTAAATTTAATTTAAACAGAGCTATTTCTGTGGTAGGTTCAGGAGGAATGGAAATTATCACTTTAGTGTTATGTATAATATGTTAAAGAAATCCACAGAATAGATTGGCTGATGAAGTACATTTAATTATAGGGTTCTATATATTTTGTGAACTATTCGTTAGTTGTACATTTATAGCAGAATGTATAGATGTAAATTAAAAATTAATTGATTTAGTAAAATATGAACATTTATTTAATTGGATTAACAATTTTGAAAATTTCGAACATGTTTTTGGATTTGATATTGTATTCATTTGTGAAACTGAACTACCCTGAAAATTAAATAAAACCAGGGAGAGTCGATATTGAGAATCCTCCTTAAAAGATGGATTTAAGAAGTGTAGCAACAAGAGAGACACTAAGCGAATATTCAACAATTTAGTAGAAAAATGCTTAGGAATCTAATGGGGTTGTTAGAAAGGCTTGTCCATCGATTTAATGGATTTAGTATTTACTTAAAATATATTGATTAATTTTACTTTAGATTATTAATTAAATAAATTAATATGTATATTGACTATAATTATTTGGAAGTATAATTATTAAGGTAGTTCATAAGGAGGAGAATGTCAATGTGAAGGAATATTTGAATGATCTTCTCTAATAGAAAATTAGTAAGATGTAGACGATAGAGGAGGCTGATTAGATTTTGGATGCTCTTATGAAGTCAATTGAAGATTTGGATGGCTAGATAGAGAATAAGAAGAAAAAGGTGAATGATGAGTTATAGACTGCTTTGGCAGTTAGTGAAATTAATTTGGGGAAGAAGATATAAGAGAAATAAGAGATTGTAGAAGAATTGAAATAATTGAAAGTAGAATACCAGAATATAAAGGGATAAATTAAATGATAAATTGACATTGTTATTTATTAATATTCATAAAGTTCTTTAATGATTGGATAGATTAGAGTATAAATAAAAGGATTATTTATTTCTTCAAGTTATTTGATGATGTAACCAAATTACTAATTTTGTTTATTATCTATTCCTCAATGATTTCAAAACATTTGATTCTGATTCAATTATTCTTTTTATATATTGGCAATTTGTATAATTTATTTGATGAACTACTGTATTCTTTAAAGATTTGATCGAATAAATGGATTTTATTTTATTTTATTTGTATTGAATAGTATTTTCTTTTTGATTTAATTGCTTCATATTAATAGCAATATTTGTTTTGATATTTAATCTATTATTTATCAGTTCTTTGATGTAGAGTATGATTTAAATATTTTCAGGAAGTTGAATTTCTAAATTAGATGTAATAATTAGGATTAGTATTATTGAGTATTCTAATCAAAAGTATGTTGTTAATGGGGTTAGTGATTTGAATTTAAGTCTTTATAGTTAAGAATAAATAAAATATATGAAAAGCGGGAATAGAAGAAAAATTATTAAAGAAATTTAAATCTTATTTAATAAATCAGATTCAAAAGTATAATGTTTGAGTTATTGTATTAGTGTAAAGGTTTTTAGGATATTAGGATCAAAGCAAACCCTCATAAAATGGACTTCATATTGCTGATTTAGAGGAAGGTATAACAGAGGAGTAATTGTTTGTTGAGTTTCGAAAATTTGGATAGATTAGTTTTGTAAAATTGCATAGGTATGAAAATGAATAGATTGTATAGATATCCATTCATAGGGAAATCGAAGCATTATGCTTTTATATATTTTTCATCATAAGAAGAAGCTCGTAAAGCAAAAGAAGCAATGAATTATAAATAGCTCTTAAGAGAGCCAATGCGTATTACTTATATATAAGAATACGAGAAGGATGCAAACTTATTCTTTGCAGGATTTGAATTGACAATAACATTAAAGTAACTTGAAGAATTCTTTTTAAAGTGGGGTCAAGTAGTAAGTGTGAAATTATCAACAGATGAAAGTAAGAAGAGTCGAGGTAGAAATTATATATAAAAAGTTAAGGTTATGGATGGGTATAATTTGAGAAGAAGGAATAAGCTGATGCATTATTGGCAGAGTGTACAGATGGAACAATTCAATATAATGAGAAAACAAAGATTATAATAAAGAGATTTGTAAAGAAGGGTACAACAGATAGAGAAGATAAAAGAAATAATCTTTATATAAAGAACTTTTGGCCATCATTAGAAGGTTAAGATTTAGAAAATGCAGAAGTTCGTGAATAATTAGTAAAAATTAGAATAATTAATTATTGTAGGAAAAAGAAATGAGAGCAAAATTGGATGAATGGTTTAAGGGTTATGGTTCAATTGTATCAATTTTAGTCAAAATTGATGTTGAAAGAAAAGCACCATTTGCTTTTGTTAGTTTTAATAAACATTAAGATGCTAAAGAAGCTTAAAGAACTTTAGGAACAACTTAAAAAAAAGATCCATTAAATACAGGTAGAATGATGTATGTTGGATGGGCTTAAACTAAGATTGATAGAAAATAATAAAGAGAGAATAATATATTTGCTAGATATATTTATGCTGATCATCTATCAAGAAATGTTACTGAAGATATGATTAGAACTACTCTTAAAGAATGTGGTTATGGTGATATTTAAATGGTAATTTTATTAATCTTATTGTTTACTTAGATTAGATTAGAAAAAATGTAATAAGGCTTCTAATAAATTATCAGAATTGGATATATCGTTTTTGAATAAGCTTCAGATGCTAATAAATTGGTTAAGAATTTTAAAGAAAATGAAAAATTTGAAGAAATTAAAAAGTTGTTTGATCCAAATGTTGATACTGCTGGTGGTAAATACTTTTAACATCTATTTCCTTAATAATCTTAATAGAGAGGATAAAGAAGAAATAATTAAAGATAATCCCCAAATAGAAGAATTTATTCTATGCCTTAAGGTCCTAATCCATTTGGTTAAAGAATGCCTTTCCCTCCTTATTAAATGTAATAAAGAATGTAGGGTCCTGGAGGTAGAAGACCTTTTCCTTAATAAATCCCTGGATTCCCTTAACCTATTAGACCTAATCTCCCACCTCCTGTTTAATAAGTTGATACTCAATAATAAATTCCTTCTCAAATTATTCCTTTCAATTAAAGATAAGATTTATTAGATTTGATGGCCAATATAGATTCCTTCAAAGCTAAACCTTAAGAAGATTAACTCAGATAAATTTAGTAATTTATTTCCATTAATATTTTAGACAAATGCTCTACTATAGAATTAAGGCTAAACTTAATACTGATACAGAAGCACATTGGAAGAGAATTAGTGAAATCTTATCAGATCCAACAAATTACTCTATTGAAGAAATCATTGATATGTTTAAAGATGAAGAGCTCTTCAATTCTTTCGTAGATGAAGCCATTGAATAATTAAAAGAAGCATCATGTTGGTGATCATTTATTGTTCATTAAATAAATATTAATAATATCGATTAATATATAGATAATCAAATCCATTCAGTTTGCACTTAAAATTATATTATTTATTGGAATGAACACTAATTTTATAAAGTATCCCACAGCTCCCATCACTGCAAATCCAATAGCACATGATGTTGCAATTTTTATATATTCTTAATTCAATACAATACATACCTCTTTTATCTGGCTTTGTACATTTTCTGATGAATCTATAACTCTCTTATCCAAAACTTTATACATCTGATAATATTCCATTGATTCCATTAAGTGTTTCTTGACTCATTTTTATTTTTATTATTGAGTTANGTTACTGAAGATATGATTAGAACTACTCTTAAAGAATGTGGTTATGGTGATATTTAAATGGTAATTTTATTAATCTTATTGTTTACTTAGATTAGATTAGAAAAAATGTAATAAGGCTTCTAATAAATTATCAGAATTGGATATATCGTTTTTGAATAAGCTTCAGATGCTAATAAATTGGTTAAGAATTTTAAAGAAAATGAAAAATTTGAAGAAATTAAAAAGTTGTTTGATCCAAATGTTGATACTGCTGGTGGTAAATACTTTTAACATCTATTTCCTTAATAATCTTAATAGAGAGGATAAAGAAGAAATAATTAAAGATAATCCCCAAATAGAAGAATTTATTCTATGCCTTAAGGTCCTAATCCATTTGGTTAAAGAATGCCTTTCCCTCCTTATTAAATGTAATAAAGAATGTAGGGTCCTGGAGGTAGAAGACCTTTTCCTTAATAAATCCCTGGATTCCCTTAACCTATTAGACCTAATCTCCCACCTCCTGTTTAATAAGTTGATACTCAATAATAAATTCCTTCTCAAATTATTCCTTTCAATTAAAGATAAGATTTATTAGATTTGATGGCCAATATAGATTCCTTCAAAGCTAAACCTTAAGAAGATTAACTCAGATAAATTTAGTAATTTATTTCCATTAATATTTTAGACAAATGCTCTACTATAGAATTAAGGCTAAACTTAATACTGATACAGAAGCACATTGGAAGAGAATTAGTGAAATCTTATCAGATCCAACAAATTACTCTATTGAAGAAATCATTGATATGTTTAAAGATGAAGAGCTCTTCAATTCTTTCGTAGATGAAGCCATTGAATAATTAAAAGAAGCATCATGTTGGTGATCATTTATTGTTCATTAAATAAATATTAATAATATCGATTAATATATAGATAATCAAATCCATTCAGTTTGCACTTAAAATTATATTATTTATTGGAATGAACACTAATTTTATAAAGTATCCCACAGCTCCCATCACTGCAAATCCAATAGCACATGATGTTGCAATTTTTATATATTCTTAATTCAATACAATACATACCTCTTTTATCTGGCTTTGTACATTTTCTGATGAATCTATAACTCTCTTATCCAAAACTTTATACATCTGATAATATTCCATTGATTCCATTAAGTGTTTCTTGACTCATTTTTATTTTTATTATTGAGTTATAACTAAAGAATAATTAAGTTATTTAATTGTAATATACGTGTAATAATTATTTATAAATATAACATTTTATAAATAATCATTTAGGAAATATATGATTGTCAATTTTGTTTCTATTGACAAATTTTTATTCCTTATATTAAGTTGGAGCTTATTCTATAGGATTCTTATAAAATTATCCTACGTATAAGATTTAATAATTACCATAGCCTTTATATTAAGCCTCATCTAATTCCTTCTTTCTACTGAGGACTCTACTATTCTATCTAGTATTGTTTATATTCTCAGTTTCTTAGAGATCTACATTAAAGATATTAGAACTCTTATTTTTCATTGATGTTATTTTATGCTATTACACTATAGAATAATAGAAATGTAAATCATACTTTAACTAAATTAGCTAAGAGCATCATCTTATTATTATTATTATTATTCATATGGATTAGTTTTTTAATGTGAACCACCTTAATAATTATTGTTAGTATCTCCATTGTAGGCATTCTAACTATTCTAATTATTTTGAGCACCATATGCAATACCAGTGATTGGGTTGTATTATGCAACTGGTGGTTTTGCTGAATATTGTTTATTAACATTATTTCCTTATTTATACTAAACAATAGAAATAACTGTTATACTTTTTAATAAAGTGCTTCATCATCATTAGGTTATTAATAATGATCATATTTATTTGATTATTACAATAATTGTGGTTATTAATGTTCATAATCCTGATAATTGTTATCTTGATTGTTATGATTATAATTTCCATAAGGTTTGCCATTGTATTGATCAAGAGAATCTTAATAATACTGTTCTGTTTATTTTTGTTACACACCAGCCTATTCTTACTTTTTGTTCATCTCTTAGTAATACATTTACTTCAGATAATCGTCATCTTATTTTTACTGATATTGTTATTGAATACTTCAACTTAATAAGCATTTCCTTAATATCCACCAACATTATTTCTCGAGTCTTAGCCAACTTTGCCTGCAATTTTTAAGTCTTCCTTTCTAGTTTAATCAATATCCCATCCTATTTTAAAACCTTGTCTGTTATTAGCATTATCTATTATCTAAATCAAAATTCATACCATTATAAGTTCTGATTGAGTTCCTCTTCTCTCCATCAAATAGCACTTGATTCTTTGGTCCTGTTCTTGACTAATAAAGATTTAAATATATTTAAAAACCATTGCCAATCTTCTTTTTATTTTTTTATTAAATAATTTATTAATAACCAAAAAAATTCAAATATTTTTATTAAATTATCGTCGTTAATAATAATCATTATTTTTATTTTGATTATGCTCTTTTAAAAAATTTAATTTCACCATATTCATTCATCTAATATTCCTTTAAATAACTTATGGTCTTCTAATAAACTTCTTAAAATGAAGCCTCTTCCTCTTTCTTCTCTTAATACTTCTTCATCAAGCATTTCGCTTCGCCTGTCTTCTTTGATAAACTCAACTTTATTTCAACATCTTTATAATAAGCCCAAGCTGAATTCTTATAACTCTTACTCCCTACAACCATGGCCTAATATATTTTACTATTTATATACAGCTGTCTTAGAATTCCAAAAACGAACTGCCAAATCTAAAGCTTATTTCATTAACTTTTCTTCCACTACTATTAATACATTCAATCTCAGACTCTTTATATTTGTTAAACAATCAGGCCACTTGAATAAATCAAATTTTAAATTTAGTTTACCACCAAAATTGTTATCCAAATAACCAAGAAACTTTCTATAATAAAATTAATCCAAATAAATTTATATCCCACATACATGTTTCCCTGTATCCTTATTATTTAGATAATGACTATAATTGCCACCAATTATAAAACTATCTATATTACTCTTTTAATGTCTCTTTTGAATACTAATATAATAAAAAATATTATAATATACCTATTTTTTAGAACTGGTTCAGAGTTTGATTGTATAATTTCATATATCATATTCTTACTTAAATTAGATTATTGCTTTGTAATTTCAACAAACTAAAATATAAATTCAAATATTAAAACCTCAAAGCACAATCCAGAATAATAACAAGATAACTCATTCTATTGGAATACTTCATAAACTACTTTAAGATCACATAGTACTCTTGTTTCCCTAGCAAGTTCTTCAAAATTTTCGATTTCATTTACTAATTCTTTGAATTTTGTTTCATACTTAGTAAAATGACCCTTCAATTATTCTCTTAAAGTTCTTTTTTATTTGGGCTCCAAAGTCTTCCTTCCACTCTCACCTATATATGAAGTTTGATTAGACTCATTGGTATATATCTGAGGCAATTTAAATGTCATTAGAGCCAAAAACTTTTTAGCTTTATCATCAGCAAAATTAAATTCCTCATTTAAAATTGTCAAAATCTCTTTCTATAAATCTCTAAATTATTAACTTTTATTTGTAATTGAACTTAACTTTGTAATCTTTTATAATATTGTTTGATGTCTTAACATTCTTATCGCCATTTAAGAATTGAACTCTAATTCTAATAGAATTAATTCTAAAAATTATGTATGACTGATTTTCAATTCAAAACTATTTATATCATGAAATTAATCTATCACATCTCTTGAAATACTTAACAATTCTATAAATTTTGTTGAATCAGGATATTCTTCTGAAATTATTTCATATGATGCACAATTATGTTTTGATAGTTGAGGTCGATCAGAATGCTAAACTTCAGCTAAAGTGTATCTTCTAAAATTATTTAATGGAAGAAACTTTAACCAATAAATCACAGGCTAAAGCAAATTCTAACATTATTACACCAATTCTCCCTCTTAAGTTAAGAATCTAAAACTTTATTGTTAATGAACACTTTTTTCATAATCCTCTGTTTGACCAAGAATTGATTAAAACTTCAGCGTATTTTATGTTGGAATCAAAAGATTTAAATTCAGTAAAATTGCTCCTCTAAGTTTAAATATCTTTTCAACTCTTGTGTAAAGTTCTATTATTCCAGATTAAAAAGTTTTAAAAAATGAGCTAGGACTTTTACTTATTGCTTCTTCTAAACAAGAAGTAAAGAAATTATTTTATTATTTTAATTGTTTACATTCAAAAAGAGTTTAAACTAACTCAGAAAAATCAGGACAATTTGGATTAGCAATAGATCTAATTACTTATTAAACTCTTTTATCTTTATATTCATTAAGTAAACTTTAAGTAGCAGGTCTTTTTTGAGGATCTCTGTTTACTAAACTTGCTATCTTATCTCTTATTTCAATATCCACCATTCCAACCTTTATATCGAAATCTTATGGAAATTTACCTTATTCTCTTAATTGAGTAATGTAATTGATTCTTTCCATGTCTGTTTTAAAGGGGTAATACATCTCAAATAGGATTATACCTAATGAGTAGACATCAACTTTGGAATCATATTGACTTTATTCTTATTCTGGTGCTAAATAGAGAAAAGTGCCAACTCCTTAAGTCAAAGAAAGTCTTTCAATTTAATTATTTTATACAGTAGAAGAAACTCTCATAAGTTTTTAATCAAAAAATTTGATTTCTTATTTCATTTCTGTTGCTAGACCAAAATCCCCCAATTTAACATTTAAATCACCATCAAGAAAAATGTTTTAAGGTTTTAAATCACGATGAATGATATTATTTTTATGAAGATAATATAATGCATCCAAAATTTACCGAATAATCTTTTTTTTTTGATCTGATGTCAGTTTACGATCATCAATTTTTTTTTTTAAAGTATCACCTGTGCAGTACTCCATTTATATGTACAATAATTATTTATTACTATTTTATTTAGGTTCATGAGGTTTGATTTCTGGAGTTTGTATAAATTCCTCTTAATTTGGTGGATCACGTTCAAGAAATTCAATGTGAAAATCAGATTCCATATTTTCTTCATAATCATATTGATCATCAGAATATTCTTCTTAACTATTACTACTTCCCTTTCTTATTTATGGTGGATCATCATACTCTGATTCTTCTTCACTTTCTTCATCTAATTCTTCTTCATCATCAATATTTTCATATTCATCTTTAACATATTCTTCAGTCCAAGCTTAATAATATCTCACAATATTAGGGTGTTAGATTCTTGATAATAAGACAGCTTCATTTTTAGTTTTTTCAGTTAATTTTTTATTAGAGTAATCTAAAACAATTCTTTTTAGAGCATAATAGTTTCCATCGAATTTATTTCTAGATTTAAATACTTTTCCAAAACCTCCACTTCCAATAAGTTGAATTTCATCAAAATCTTGTTGAAATCTAGAGAAACTACAAGCTTATAATTGATAGAGTTATTCAATTGGAAGTGCTTAAGCTGCAGGTTTCAATTAAGGTTCTGATTTATCATACTTTTCTACAAGATGATCTTTAAGCATATCAAAACCAAGCACAGATTATCTCATGTCAATATCTTCATTTGATTCTCCATAAGTCTTAGAAATACCTCTAGTAATTAGAAGGTCAGAAAATTAATCTAAATGTGGATTAGAGTTATTATAATTATATTGATTTTATGCTCTTCTTTTTGTAAATTCTTTATCAATTTCTGTTAATTTTGCTTCTAATAAGATTATGGTTTCTAATAGATTAGAATTTGAACAATCAGAAACTATGTTTAGAATTTCTTGTTTCTCCACTTACAAAAATGTGGAGTGAAATATTACATCAATTTAAAATTAAGGTCCTTTAACAATAATTACAATTTATGATGTAGATTATTCATCTAAAAAGGACTTAAGTTATAATTAAAAATGAATTTAATCCTCTTTCTCAAAAAGCAGATGAATATCATTAGGATAAATGTCTTACAATTGTAAAAATTATTCTTTAATTGAAATAATTCTTCGACATCCTTACAATTGTAAAGCTTATTAAAAATCCTGATCAATTGTTTATGAATAATCATTTTTAAGTCTGAAACAACTAATGTCTGTTTGAATGCATTAATTTTTCATTATTAAAACTAAATATAATCATTATTAATTTATAAACTTTAATTCAATATTGATCTTTGCTTGTGATTATACCTCCAACAATCTACATTTCAAATTCATTTCATCAGCCTAATCAGTTTGATTCCTATATATTATAAATTTAATTAAAATTACTTAAGTAAATTTACATGCAAGTCTTTTAATTCAGGCCATAATTTTATGGATTACAGCATAATAGTTACTGAAGCTCCAGTAGCTTAAACACTCTCTAAACTTAAAATTAATTTTTATAATTCTTTTAATTTTTAAAGTCCTTTGAGTAAAGTGTCTACTCCTTCATCTCCTAAAGGATTACTATATAATATATAATTATTATAATACTGATCTAAAATTAATTTCACTTCTTCTAATTACACTGCCTCTCCAAAACAATTGTATAATAATTCCATACCATTTAATCCAATTTAATTTGATCTTAAATTCAAATTGATGCTTTTTAATTTCTTTTAACTAGTTAAAAATCTATTAACATATCTCAATCCATATGATGAACAATTTACACTTTAATAATAAATAATAAATCTATCATACTTTTCAATCCATAATTTCAATTCTCTTAATGGTTGTTGCATTTCATGAATTGCCTTAGCTAAAAATCGCACACCATCATCTTCAATTTTATTTTTTGATAAATCAATAACTAATAAATTTAATTTCGTTAATTTCAATAATGCTTAACCTAAAGCTTCACAACCTTTTTTTGTTATTGAATTATTCCATAATGTTAAATTCAATTATTTTAATTTCTCACATTTTTATAATCCCTTTGAAAACTCTTCCATTCCCATATCCTTTATTTAACAACCCCATAAAATTAATTCACAATACTCTAAACCAGATATACTTTCACCTAATTCATATAAACCTTCATTATGCATTGGATTACTATAATATAATTACAAATAAAATACTTAGAAAAATTGATAATTAAATGACTCAAATTAGGTAATTTCTTAAGTGATTAATTAACCATCTTAGATAATACTTAATTCATATAATTGCTTTCTAAATTAAGATCTAATTTCTTTAATTTCGGCATTCCACAAATCACTGTGAAAAAAGCCTCGCAACATTCCATAGGTAAATGATTTCTATATTTATTAACATTACATATAATACAATCCAAAATCTAAACGAAGTTCAACCATTTTTTTTAAACCCTCTAAAAGAGGTAAAGAATTATTTATTCCTTCATCTGATAACATATTGTTTGATACTTCTAAATTTAACTTTTCTAAACCAACCATCTTCATTATTGTTTTTGATAACATTAACAATCCCAAATTTCCTAATTTGTTACTTTATATTAAACAATATCTCTATACTTCCATAATTGTAAAGATAATTCTTTTAAATTTTATGCTCTACTTAATAACTTTTCTAATGGAGCTACTGTTCTTACATTTAAATGACTCATCTCTAATTTTATTTATAATGTAATCATTTAAAAATTCTTCACTTATTAAGCTATTGTCTCTAAAAATTTTAATAATTCTTCTTAAGTTTTATTCTACATTCCATTCAAATCTAATTGAACATCTTCCTTATTCTTTATATCCAATTAAAAATCATCATATTAAGTAATGGATTATAAGTGCTGATGATTTATTTTTGCAACCTACCAATTTTAATTTTTAATTTACCTATTTTACTTCAAGATAGAGTCTTTCACGAATTATTTCATTTAATTAAATAAAATCATATCTATCATCAGGGGATATTTCTAACATTAATTTTAATATCTTTGAAATCCCTTTGATACGAGGATAAGTCTCTTTAATTTTTTTTCTTTACTCCTTCAAAAAATTAAATAGTTTTCTTTCATCATCAAATAACTCTTCTCTTTACTATAAATTAAATTACATCTCTTACTTATTTGCTCATTGATTAAGTAGTACCAAAAATTAGAAATACCAGTCCTAATGAAAATACGTCACTTTTATAAGGATTATATTTTGCCTAAGGTTTTCTCCTTTTAAATGCTGTATAAATTTCTGGAGATTGATATCCTATTGTTCCTCCTATAGTACGAGATCTTGATTCCTCATCAATAATTTCAGTACCAAAACCCACCTTGCTTTATAAATTAACTAAGTTACATCACAAACTTTGAAGTTTAAATTTTCATCATTTACTAGTATTATATTTTCAGGTTTTATGTCTCTATGTGCAATTTTCATATCTTAGAGATGTTAATGAGCCTTAATCATCGTAAGATAAAAATTAGCCACATCTTATTCTTTAAATCTGAAATCTGGATCAGACTATTTTTTAGATTTAATGTATTGAGATAAATTGGTTATGCCCAATTCCATCACAATGCACCCAAAAGTGATAGACTGCATTTAAATGGCAAATTCTTACTTTATCCTATGTTGTAACCTTCTCATAGTAGAAGCTATCTTCAAATGCAATAATATTAGGATGAGGATTAGCTTTTATTTTTTGCAAAATCTATATTTCTTATTAAAACTTTTCTCTTAAAAACGAATCAATCAAAACTTGTTTGATACAACATTTTTGCTTGGATATTATATTTTCAGCTAAATAGACTTCATTCCAAGTTTTAGCAATTATACTCAAATATTTGTATTCTCCAGGTAGCATAATATTTGTAATAATTATAAAATGTATTATTAATTCTATAATTATATTATTCACTTAAATAAATTAAATTGATCATTTATAATTCCACTTCATTTTAATTAAGTATTTCCATATAATTTAAGCAAAATCATAGAAAATAAATATAAAGCTAAAAGGTCTACTATAGTTATATATAGTTACATTAATAATTCCTAAAAGAGCAATATATACTTAGGTAATAACATAATAATCAGAATAGAATTATTCATTTGTATTTTCTTGAGCAACATTACATAATCAATCCTATGTTATTCTCTCTTTAAATAGCACTATAATTCATTGATTTAGAAACCTTATCTGCAAAATATACACCATAAAATAAATTAATTTATTACCTTTCCAAATATTTAATCTATGATGCAAACTATTTTCAACCCTTAATTTAAAATACCTACAAAATTTATTAATTTTAAACCATTTCATAATAACATTTTATTTCCAATAACTTTTTAAGTATATTACATCTTAATCTTTTTATATCTCAAAAATATCTTAAATTTGTCTCTATGAGTCTGTTAGATCGAAATATTGCATAATTATTCAAAAATTTTATACTAGATATCTAATAATTTCATCAAATTACACGGAGTATATTACAATCAATCAATGAGAAAAAATTTAAGAAATCGAAAAATCTAAGAATCTAGTTANTCAGGTTTTATGTCTCTATGTGCAATTTTCATATCTTAGAGATGTTAATGAGCCTTAATCATCGTAAGATAAAAATTAGCCACATCTTATTCTTTAAATCTGAAATCTGGATCAGACTATTTTTTAGATTTAATGTATTGAGATAAATTGGTTATGCCCAATTCCATCACAATGCACCCAAAAGTGATAGACTGCATTTAAATGGCAAATTCTTACTTTATCCTATGTTGTAACCTTCTCATAGTAGAAGCTATCTTCAAATGCAATAATATTAGGATGAGGATTAGCTTTTATTTTTTGCAAAATCTATATTTCTTATTAAAACTTTTCTCTTAAAAACGAATCAATCAAAACTTGTTTGATACAACATTTTTGCTTGGATATTATATTTTCAGCTAAATAGACTTCATTCCAAGTTTTAGCAATTATACTCAAATATTTGTATTCTCCAGGTAGCATAATATTTGTAATAATTATAAAATGTATTATTAATTCTATAATTATATTATTCACTTAAATAAATTAAATTGATCATTTATAATTCCACTTCATTTTAATTAAGTATTTCCATATAATTTAAGCAAAATCATAGAAAATAAATATAAAGCTAAAAGGTCTACTATAGTTATATATAGTTACATTAATAATTCCTAAAAGAGCAATATATACTTAGGTAATAACATAATAATCAGAATAGAATTATTCATTTGTATTTTCTTGAGCAACATTACATAATCAATCCTATGTTATTCTCTCTTTAAATAGCACTATAATTCATTGATTTAGAAACCTTATCTGCAAAATATACACCATAAAATAAATTAATTTATTACCTTTCCAAATATTTAATCTATGATGCAAACTATTTTCAACCCTTAATTTAAAATACCTACAAAATTTATTAATTTTAAACCATTTCATAATAACATTTTATTTCCAATAACTTTTTAAGTATATTACATCTTAATCTTTTTATATCTCAAAAATATCTTAAATTTGTCTCTATGAGTCTGTTAGATCGAAATATTGCATAATTATTCAAAAATTTTATACTAGATATCTAATAATTTCATCAAATTACACGGAGTATATTACAATCAATCAATGAGAAAAAATTTAAGAAATCGAAAAATCTAAGAATCTAGTTATAATAGTGTTAGATAATCATGAATAAATATATTTAATTTAAAAAAAAATAAAAAAATGCTTTTTCAATAGCTGAGAAGGGAAGTATTATTTTTTAGATATTTAAGAAATATTGAAAATTTAAAAATACACAATATGTCTTTCAATTATTGAAACAATAGCATCAACGTTTTTTTTATTATTTTTTATCATCATAATCAACTAAGACTAATAATAATATATATTATTATGTAAAAACATTAATTTAATCCTATTTATAATGAATTATTTGAAAGTATTTAGATCATTTTTTTGCTCCTCTCTAATATTTGTTTGTACCATAATCCAATGAAATATTTAAGTTCTTTATGTCTAAAAATATTTAAAAGCAATAAAGCGAATTTAATAATAATTATTAAAATTTGATTAGATTAGAAAATAAAAATAAAACAAATTAAAAAAAATAAGGATTGAATCAATTAATTGATAATCCATTAATACGATGTTTATAGCTATTTTTTAATTACTCAAAATTTTAAAAAAATTAATAAAATTTTCAATTTTAAATGGGATTAGGATTTACTAAATTCTCAAATAATTATTTTTTTGAATCATCCAAAAAGAAATTTGAATCTTCAATTTCCCAAGAAATGTTTTGAAATAATTATTTTTGTGTAATTTAATATTAAACAATGATTTTCTAATATAAAAGAAGGATCTCTAGTTTTTATGTGACTTTCCACCAAAAACTTTTTGAATAATAATTTCTATATTATTCACTCATTAAATATTCCTTAATCAAATTATTTTTATGAATTTAGAAAAGTTGTTTATCATATAAACAATCCACTAATTTTAAAGATTTTTCATATTATTTTAATTGTTTGTTGATACATTTGAAATATAGATATGGCATTTTAGGAGTTTTTCTTTTAATAATCAATTAATTATCTTTTTTTAATTCTTGTATTATATTATCCAAAAAGCTATCTTTGTCTTTTAAATTGTTTTATTATAAATATTTGAGTCTTAATTCGGCAAGTTAAATAGCTTTATTGACTTTTTCAAATGAAACTTAATATTTTTTTTATTTATTTTGTTTTTCAAGATTAAACTAAATTAATGAGTTTTTAACTTATTTTTAATATCTACTGCTTCTCCAAATAATTTATTTGCATTTAGGACAATGAATAAAATTTGATTTTTCATTTTCAAAATATTAATCTAAGAATTCTGCATATATAATCAATTCACATGAACATTCTAATTAATAATAAATAGTATCTTTATCTGCTTTTTAATTATCATGTTGATCAACTTAACAAATAGTCGGACAAATTTCTCCACAAAAGCCCATGCAATCACAACCACATTTTAGTTTTTTATCACATTTTTGATTACATGGTTTTCTATCGCATATTTCATAGCATTTTTTCGTACATTAGGTATGCTAACAACTTAATTGACAATTTTGTTCACATGATATACATTTTTCATAACATTTATTAGTACATTTTATTTTACAATTACATTCTATTTGACATTAATCTTCACATTTAGAACATTCGCTATAACATTATAATTAGCATTTATGACCACATAATAAAATCTTATCACATATCTTTTAACATGGTTAATGGAATTTTTCAAAGCATAATCCACAAGTTCCACTACAATCATGTCCACAAATTAATTATGATTAACAGTTTTAAGTACATATTAATTTATGAATATAATTTTGATCATCACATTGAATAGATATTTCATGTTTACAGATGGTTAATTCATATGTTATTTATTCTAAACATTTATATATTTTACAATCATCCATACATTTAAGAAAGCATTAATGACCACACTTTAATATTCTCTTACATGGTTCTTTACATTAAATCTCTTTTTATTATTCATAACATTATATTTTTGTTAAATGTTCACATTTTTCAATATATATTTCTACTGTTGTTTTACAAGGAGGGCAAGGAATTTATCCACATTTTTCAAGACATTCATGACCACATTCTAATATTTTATCACATTTATAAGAACAATCTTATTGATTATGGTTAGATTTATGGCAATTTTACTAACAAATATGACCACAAGGAAATATAGCATTACATATTTAAGTACAACCACCTCCTTTAACTTAATCCCAATCTTTTTCTTCATAGATTTTAGTATCAATATTATGTGAAGAACATTTCAACTCAATATAATTCTAAATTACTCCTTTCTATCTTGCTAAATCTATTATTCTTAACCATAAATCTGAAATATCAGGATTTCTTTATTGAAGTTACTTTATCAAATGATCTTTTATACACTCTTCAATAAAACCAAAATTACCAAATATATACAATCCTAATCTTGCTCTAGAAAATGCTACACATACTCGATTATCTATTGCAACAAAACCTAATTTATAATTAGTGTTCGATCTAACTAAAGATAATAATATTATATCATTTTCTTCTCCTTAATAATTATCTATTGACTATACTCTTACATCTTGTTTACATTATTTTTTTATATATTATGCCTATTTTAAATAAGTAGTTAACACTGTTATTTATTCTCCTTTATATCCATTTTTTAATAAATATTCTACCATTCTTAAAATCATCTTAGCTTCAAATTTATTTGATTTAGAACTTGACAATAGTTTTTCATCTTCTTTATGTCTATGATTAAAAAAGACTAAATCAGTTTTTATTCCTTCGATCTCAATTTTATTTTATTCTTATATTGAAGTATGATCTTAGTAATCTGAGTAAATTAAACGAATAAAGTCAGCAAACTTTGATTTCATTCTTCTCTAATATTTTAAAGTAGCATATTCTAATCCATTTTTTATCAATCTTTCAATAGCTCTAAATTTGACTTCCAAATCATAACATTCCATATATGGTTTAATTATTAATGATCACCTATTAAAATTTAATGGTTTATTTGTTTAGATAAAACAGCTATTAAATTTGATTCCAAAACTTCACCTGCTTCTTCAACTACCAAAGTATTAAAATCTATTCTTTTAAATATTTCTGCATATTTAGCAAATCCAGTCAAAGTTACTCCAACGATTTTCATATTTTAAATAATATGAATATCTCTAATTATTTAAACCTGTTTTATTTCATTTATTAAAGATTCATAACTTTTTACATCCCATTCCAAGGAATCCAATGAATTATCCAATTTTTGACTAAAAATGAAGTTTGAAATAACATTTCTTTTACCTTATGGCATTTCCCAAATTTAATAATCATTTTCTTCATTAATTTCATTCATAATATCATAAAAGTTTGCTTTATCATCTTTGTTTAATCGATTTAAAAGTCTCTTTATTGTTATCATATCATTAATAGGTTATTTTATAAATTCATCTTTTTCATCATTATCTTAATTAATTAAAATCTTCCTATTTTCTTCTTCATCTGAATCAAGATTTTCATTTGAAAAATCATCTTCATCTTCTTATTCTATTTCTTTTAGAACTTCATCACTTAAATTAAATTGTCCATCTAAATCACTAAATTTGTAAACCATGATTGATTTAAAAGTCTTTTTATTAGTTTATTTTTTAATTAAGCAATTACTTAACTAATTCTCAATATTAATGATTGTTTGTACTTATTCTTTTTGAGGTTTCACATTATCTAACCACATATTCATTATTATTTTTTTAGAATAAATTGATATAGGATTTTAAAAATTAAGATCCTCAATTTCTAAATATTGACATATTATTTTCTCAAATAAATCAGGTTCATATTGTTAAAAATCTGTAGGGTTTATTTAATTAATGAAATTTAATAATTAACTCAACTATTCATCCAAATCCAATTTTTGTTCTAAGAATTCTTTCCAATTACACCCTTCTTCTTTCCAATCAATACGAAATTAATTATAATAAGATGATAAAAGCATTGGTTTAAATTCTTCCACTTTACATCGACCTCCTATTCTTACAATGTCTTCCATTTGACAAAAAGTAAGTATATGTTTTAAAAATTAAAATAATGCATGATTTGTTTAACACACTATTAAAATTGGTTTATTTTGAACCATAAAACGATAAGGATAATAAAATTTTGAATAACTACTATTATTTGTTAATTGATTCTATAACAATATTTTCACACCCAATGCTCCACAATATGTTTTACCAGTACCTGGAGGTCCCTAAATCAATGAAATACCATTTTTTAATATTGTCTATATTGCTTTCAATTAAGAAACATCTAAACTCATCGTATCGACTTAATTCAAGTAAAAATTAACATCAATATCTTAAGAAATATCTTAATTTTTAATTTGTTGATAATTTAAATATCCTGACTTAGGCATTATCTTTGAACCAAAAACTATTTAATCAGCAAAAGGCAATTTATGTGGCTTCATCATTTTTAAGCTTCTTAAAAAATGAATATATGACTCAAAATATATTTTATTCTCTATTGTTATCAATTATTATACTTTTTATATTCAATTAATATTTACCTTAACTTATTAAATTCTTAACTTATCTTAATTATTCTATTAAAGAAAACCTATCAAAGTAATTGCAATACAAACTCTACCATTTTATGTACATTTATATTTTTTTACAACTGTTCCAAATAACATAAACTCAAGATTTGTAGTTGACTTAATTTAATAATACAATTACTAATAACAGTAAAGAACCCGGCATAAGTCTAGATGATTTTTTCCCAATTTATTTAATCATTCTTTGGATCATATCCATTCATAGTAACAATAAATGAGAGTCCTCGATTTGTCACTTGGACATTTTCTATAAGAACATCAAAATATAAAAATGCACCTTATAATACTTCATCTCCAATTTCATAAAAACCAGTTGATTTTAATTTGGCAACTATTAATCTAAAATTCTTTAAATAATCTTCTCTAAGAATAAAAAAGTGGTTATTGAAAAACAATTCAGTACTTTTATATGGTTATCCCAAGGGAATCTCAAAAATGCATCCTTTATATACAAAATTTTTATCAGAAACATAATCAAATTCTTAAACCTGAGGTTCTAAGGGACAAGATTAATAAGTATCTTCACTTTAATCCATTAGCTTATTATGTCTTGAGTTTAATTCACGAAGTTTTTTTAATTAGAGAAAACTCTTCATCTGTTTTGAATATTCTCTATATATATTATAATTTTTTTAATTTGGTATATTTTAATATTTTTAATGAGTACTTCTATTAAGTTCTTGATTATACTCCTATTATGAATTATTAAATATTGTTTGAGTAATTTCATTTTAAATTTAATATTAATTGAAATTTTATACATATGAACTTTATAGTTAAATAGAATTGGATGCATTTGCTGATAAATAAGTAGGCTCTATAAATTTTTACTGAACTTACTATCTCTATTAATATGTTGTTCTTTGATTATTTTTTCTTGATCTTGATACTCCACTTAATTATTGTGAAATTTGAAACTATTTTTCCTAAATTTTTTATGGGTACTTCTAAAATTATTTCATATGTTATTAAGGGGAATTCTTATTATGAGATAAACCTTTTATAATATTAAAACATGAATTTTGGTATTGAAGTTGATTTTCCTGAATTTATGAGTATTCATTTGATTATTAAGGTAAAATTTGATTATATTAAATTTATTAGTATTCATTTGATTATTAAGGTAGAATTCGATTATATTAAATTTATTGGTATTCATTTGATTATTAAGGTAGAATTCGATTATATTAATTTTATTCGTATCATTTAATTATTAAGGTACAATTTGATTTTATTAAATTTATTAGTATTCATTTTATTTTTAAGGTAGAATTCGATTATATTAATTTTATTGGTATTCATTTGATTATTAAGGTAGAATTCGATTATATTAAATTTATTGGTATTCATTTAATTATTAAGGTACATTTAGATTCTGCTAAATTTTTAAGTATTAATTTGATTATTCTGATGCCTATTAATTCTACTCAAATTAAGGGAACAAATTAAACTACAAAGTTTCAAATTCTGAAAAATTCTCTTCATTTAGATTTCCTGACTATTGTTATTGGAAATAGCTCTATTATTATTAATTTTTTAAATTATTCTCTATGAAAACATTTTTAGTTTATTATTGAATTAGTAATGAATTATTAGTTATAGGTTGTGTTTAAACAAATTCTTCTTATTATATTTAAGGATTATTAATTAAAATACTTTGATTTTGAGTTAGATTTTGAATATTTTAGCGTATATCTGATCGATATTCAACTTAAAAATTTCTAGGTTTATACTAATTTTCAGAATTGTTTTGTTAACTATTAACTAAATTGATATCTTTATATATTTATGGTTATTAATTAGTTTAACTATTATTATTAAAAATATCTATTAGATTTTACAACTAATTCATTTTGTTGAACTCTTGAATGAAATTCGAATTGATTTAATTTAAGATGTTAATTGTTTATTTTAAATGTTTTATATATTTAGGTAGTTATATAAATTACGATTCTAAAGAGTTTTGGACAAAATTTAAAAAGTAGTTAATAAAAAACTGGTACTTTGCTATATCATTATAAGTTAAGTTGAGATTCCTACTCATAATATCAAGCTCTTATAAAAACAATATTTCAAAAGCAGATGACTCTAAAATTTGTTCAATATAATGATTATAATATTTTTGGTGTTGTTTTGATAACAATACTAAAGTTTCAAGACAACATTATAATAGATTTGGAAAACATTTGACTCTTACATTATTTATTGCCATTTTTAATTCTTAGGGTCCTCGATGATACTTCTTAAAAAATTAATCCAATTCTTGAACTTGATTACCTTTTGATTAAAGAGCTTACTCCCATAATTTTTTATTTATATATCGAGTGTAAGGTTATGCTACAGAATTAAAACAATAATTATTATTCCTTTCTCTCTACATAAACTAATTTTTGATTAATATATTAATTTATTAAAGACTATTAAATCTTTTATAAAGTGAATATATATAAATCAAAAATATTATTGATTAAAATAATGAACAATCATCATTATAACAATTTTTTAGAATTTTTAATATTTTTTATCATAATTTTCCAGGCTCATTTATTTTCATAACCATGATCAATTTCTGATAGTATCAACAATCCATCCTTTTTATGAATAATTTTAATGATCTAAAGAATAAATTATCTAATATATAAATAATTAAAATACTAAGCAATTTTGCATTGTTAGTTGAATTTTTAGATCTAATTCATTATGAAATTCATGAAGATCACTGCAAAAATAAGAGTAGATTTTTTTTTTAAATCTTATGATAGTTATATAAATCAACATCCCATTTCTTGGTTCTATAGTCAAACCTTTATAATTTATATACAGCATTTAGATCATAATATGCAACTAAATAAATCTATTCAAATATGAAGGTTTTTCATTTTTAATCACTTTTATCAATACCATTAAATTTGACTTAAATTAGTCTTACACTATTAATTAAAGTATGTTAGTAATTAGAATTATTGTAACTCTAATTTCATCTTAAAAAAATTAAGTTAAGGAAAATAATGTTTTCCTAATTTAGAGCCGAAGTTGACTTTGTCAATTATTTACAAATATCAAAGAAACCCTTGAAATTAATTGGTTAATCAATATTAAAATCATGATTTTTTGGATTAAATTATCTTAAATACTTATTCATTTAGTAATTTTAGGTTGCTTAATTATTTATTATTTGTTATTTACAAGAATATCCTGTTTTTAAATGTTTTGATTTATTAAGAAGTAGTTATTTTTTATTTAGTTTCATTTAATTCAATTATGAACTTAATTTTATAGAATTAATTTACATAATCAAATTATTGTATAATATTAAGTTTATTAAAATTGTAGAAATGGATCTAAAACTATTAAACTTTTTGTGTTGATTAATTGTGTACACAGTAATTGCATTAGAAAATTCAATTGATGTACAGTAAATAATGATGGTATAGCTTGTTTGCCACCAGTCACTACATATGAATAGTACTAAATGTTTACTCAAAGGAAAACGTTCTAGTTATATTACCTAAATTATTTTTGCAACAACAAAAGCATTTAGTGATCTTTTTGTATTTAAATCATCGACTTGTATCATCATCTTTTATTCTTCCAAAATTTTTGTTGCTACTTAGATATGTTAAATTGATTCCAAGATTTGAAATTTTTATTTCACTGTTTAGTATAGATTAATTCTGGCTCTTTAATAATTACACAACATATGTAGTCNCTGATAGTATCAACAATCCATCCTTTTTATGAATAATTTTAATGATCTAAAGAATAAATTATCTAATATATAAATAATTAAAATACTAAGCAATTTTGCATTGTTAGTTGAATTTTTAGATCTAATTCATTATGAAATTCATGAAGATCACTGCAAAAATAAGAGTAGATTTTTTTTTTAAATCTTATGATAGTTATATAAATCAACATCCCATTTCTTGGTTCTATAGTCAAACCTTTATAATTTATATACAGCATTTAGATCATAATATGCAACTAAATAAATCTATTCAAATATGAAGGTTTTTCATTTTTAATCACTTTTATCAATACCATTAAATTTGACTTAAATTAGTCTTACACTATTAATTAAAGTATGTTAGTAATTAGAATTATTGTAACTCTAATTTCATCTTAAAAAAATTAAGTTAAGGAAAATAATGTTTTCCTAATTTAGAGCCGAAGTTGACTTTGTCAATTATTTACAAATATCAAAGAAACCCTTGAAATTAATTGGTTAATCAATATTAAAATCATGATTTTTTGGATTAAATTATCTTAAATACTTATTCATTTAGTAATTTTAGGTTGCTTAATTATTTATTATTTGTTATTTACAAGAATATCCTGTTTTTAAATGTTTTGATTTATTAAGAAGTAGTTATTTTTTATTTAGTTTCATTTAATTCAATTATGAACTTAATTTTATAGAATTAATTTACATAATCAAATTATTGTATAATATTAAGTTTATTAAAATTGTAGAAATGGATCTAAAACTATTAAACTTTTTGTGTTGATTAATTGTGTACACAGTAATTGCATTAGAAAATTCAATTGATGTACAGTAAATAATGATGGTATAGCTTGTTTGCCACCAGTCACTACATATGAATAGTACTAAATGTTTACTCAAAGGAAAACGTTCTAGTTATATTACCTAAATTATTTTTGCAACAACAAAAGCATTTAGTGATCTTTTTGTATTTAAATCATCGACTTGTATCATCATCTTTTATTCTTCCAAAATTTTTGTTGCTACTTAGATATGTTAAATTGATTCCAAGATTTGAAATTTTTATTTCACTGTTTAGTATAGATTAATTCTGGCTCTTTAATAATTACACAACATATGTAGTCAAATAATTATGCTATTTCTCTCCAAAACTTATTTAAATTTTATAAATAATATAAATATAAAGGAATAATAATATTTATTTGATTTGAAAGTTGAGGACAATTTTTAGTTTTCTTAATTACTTTTTTGTGAGACATATTTAATTAAGAGAAAAAATAAATATAATTATTTATATGATTAGAATTTAATTGGGGTTGGGGAAAAAAGTTGTTATCATTAAATGAAAATAAGTTATTGAATATCTTTATCTTAAAACAAACTCAAAATACTTTTTTATCTTTCTAAAAGATTGTTTCATCTGTATTGGCGATTGTATTCATTTTTTATTCAGTTTGTTGTTAATTAGTTCTAAAGGTATGTGGCATTAATAATTTGGAAGCTCTATTTTAAGGTAAATATATAATATTCTGTTCCAATTAAATTTTCTCATAATTGATTTAAACTTGTTTTTTATATTGATAAAAAATTAGAATAGCAAGAAGTAATATGAAAATCAGTATTAGAATCAAGATTATCAAATTTGTTGATATAGAATATGAATTTTGATTGAAAAGAACTTCAAATTCTGTTTACTACCAATCAAATTATGTCTTATAATGTAATTTATATTTTTATCTAATGAATTGATCAGCTAAAATTTCTATTGAATTAATTTACACTCGATAAAGCATTTAATTGTATATGGTTAAATTAAAGGTCTAAATTGAAATAAGTACTTAGAAGTAGTTCCGTAGATAAAATTCTAGGATGATATAAACTGTTTAACGGAGCTCATACGAAATTGGATGACTTTGAGTTATTTCTTATATTAGATATAATGATGATTATATGTTCCCTAGACCAAAACATAGTTTTCATTAACATCGATATCTATGATTCGATTAGAAATATTGTATCTAGCAATGGAACTCCACTTTTTATTATATGGTTCAATATTGTAATGAATTAGATAATAATAATGGCTAGTTTTATATGCCACAAAAACATTAGATTCATCAAGTAGGTCAATTGCAATGCCATCAGACTTAGGTCCAATAAATTTGAGTAATAACTTTTAGGTGATTATATCCCTTAGTATAGATACCTCTATAACCAAAATTCCATTCATCTTACACATGATAAATAGTAATAATTTCCTATCATTAAATTAATAGACAGCAAAGTCTCTAAAATCAATTTATTGAATTCCAATAGTTTAAGAATTTAGAGAGATGAGTAGTGTTAGATTTCGATAAATATCTAAGCCATCTTTTCCAACAACAGAAATTAAATAAGAGTTTATTATTTTTGAAAAGTAGCGATTGTTTCTACTTTAGAAAGTGGGAATCATTTACCATTAGTTACTTGATGAATTATCTACTGAATATGCAATCTTGGGATATATAATAATTAATTATTAAGGTGAATAAAGCAATTATGGTAATATTTCCTAATCAATATTGATACTTAATTTCTAAAGAGTAGTTGTATTAGTAGAATTATAAAAGTAGAATAGATTAGAAGTTATTGTAAGCCCTACCAATATGTCATTGTTTATTGTAATTAAGTCTATAAGTAAATCATTAGCATCGGAATCCTAATATTCTTATAATTAATGAATTGTTTGCTCTTAGAACTTTAATGTAGGATTAAGGAGATAACAATATTATTATTAACTTGCACTAGAATAATTTTGATTTTAGTACTCTATCAAAATTAATTCAGCCTCTAAAGCATCATTTATATTGAAGAGTGTTTTGACTTCTCCATATTTCACATTGTATTGATAGATTGCATTTACAACAAACGGAATTAGTACAAAATGTGTGATCATTTTAAAAAGGAAAAATTGGATATAATTTTATAATTTTTTATGTATTCATATGGTGAATTCCTATTTAAAGATGTAAGCATATTTCGCAACGTCATCTTATTTAGAGGATAATAGCTTTTGTATTACACCTTTTCCCTCTATCTCTATGAATAGTGTAAAATACTAATTGTTCTATCTATCCTTTGATCTAATTTCACCCTTCCGAAGTACTTTTATTAAAATTTCTAATCCTTTTTTAAGATGATGAGATTGTATTTCTTTTATTTATGATAATTCAAGCATCCCTAAAATACTTTAAATTAATTTATTCTTAACCATTTAATTTACATCTTCATTAGTCCCATGTTAAACTGCATTTCCTATCATTTCTAAAGCATCTCCTCTTATATCTTAATTTTCACCCATCAAAGAATGAAATAATGATATTAAAAAATACTAATTAGATAAAACTTTAAATAAAGTTTCTGTTGCTGCAAATGTTTAAAGCATATTACCACTTTTTTCTCTACTCTTTGGATCTAGAATATTTCTTATTTATGATAAAAATCCACATTCTAGCAGATAACTAATTTATTCTTAACTTCCTTAGAATATACATTCAAAAATTCTCAAAATTGAAACAAAGTTACATTGATGCATTAATTATATCAATCTTATTATTATTCCATTATCAATTAATATTTGAATTCTAGTAGGTTCTCCATCTAACATATATCCAAGTGCCCAAATAGCATCATTCATCATTTTTATATTTGTTTATGTTGGTTCATACATTATGACTTTCATAAAAATATTGAAAGCTGGTCTAATTATTTCAAATTTTGGACTAGGTCTTCCAATGCATAGGTTAGCTAAACACCAGACATAGGTTGCTTCATATCTTAATTGCATATTTGATATAATTCTATTCAAATTACATACTTGAAGAATACAATCTCTATATTAAATTGAATCACCTGCTAACTTGCCTAATATTACCATCATTAACATTGATAATTCTGGATGGTTATTTTTTAAAATGGTTTAAGATAATCGTACTATTCCATTTTCAAAGATTATTCTTGAAATATCACTCTTTCCACCTGCAAAAATTGAGATAATTTCTAATATATACAATAAATTAACATGTAGCTTCTAATTTAAGAATGTACGTACTTCCAAATTCGATTAAATAAAATAACAGTGGTATCAGTTCATTAGTTAATATTTCTGCTTAATCAAAATTCTTATTAAATTATTGAAAGAATAATACAGATAAGGTCTTTCGCAATTGAATTAATGCTTTATGAGTTTCTAGAAAATTTTCAGATTTAATAATTTCAAGTGCATCCTTGATCGATATCTAATAATTTGAAGAGTCTATTATAAACATTAATTGATCTTTAAGTTATTATGACATATATTCATATTGAAGCATCTCCTGATAGTTGTAAATTTGTAAAGTTTTTTGATTAGGACTTAATTTGTGAGTATTTTTCATATTTTTTGTTGTGTTTTAGATATATAAAAAGATTTAATTAATTTTCCATAAAAACTTAGATCTAGTTATTGATATTATTAGGTTTGCTATTAATTAATGACGTTGGAATAGGGTGGTGAGTTTAATTTGTTTACAAAAAAGGATTGTATGCTAGTGTAAAGATTTGATGGATAATTGTTAGTGATATTGTAAAGAATTGGAAGAGGGAGATAGAGGAGTGTGAGAGTTAAAAATAGAAAAAAAGAATGGAAAATATTTAAGTAATTATTATTATTAATGTAAAAAGTAGCTTTGGCACTATATGAGTACATTCATAAGAAGTATGTGGCAAAGATGGTGCGTAGATCTGAA